GCTTCAATTTTGTCTCCACAAATCTTCCTCCATTTAAATTTGTTAGCTTATCTCAATTTTAATGAATCCTTTTAGCCCGTTCAACAATAGATAAACCCACTCGTCTATGTTTTATCACTTGTCTCATCTCCAGCAACAATCTTTTTTGTGCATTTTTCTCTCATCTTTTCCGCTTTGTACCACTTCATAATTGCATTCTCCACCACCTTTATCTTCTGTGCTATTTAAATCTCATTTTACGGGTCACAACGAAGTCTCTCCATCACCCTTTAACCTTCTCACATAACCTATTAACTTTTAATTATTTATCAAATTATTAAAAAAAAAAAAGGACATTAGCAATTAAAAGTGTAATAAATGACAAGCATCGGGAACTAATTTAATAATTTGTCTTTTTTTCTTAAATAATTATAGACATTTTTATTTTACTAGTTATATTTATTAATATATGAAATAAGACCTTTGTATTATTAAAAATTTGTTTTAAAAAAGTAAGAAAAAAAGAAATTATTCTTAACTTGTTAGATTTTTATTTTTTATGTGATAAAGTTACATAATTGCGCTTTTAGTCTCTATTTAAAATTAATAATATATATAATAACTTAAATTATAACATGATTTTAATAAATACTTTTTATTTTTTAATAAAATTACTTTTCTTTCACGATCACACTTAATTTATACACATAATTACGTATCTCTTAAATAATAATTATATATATTTTAACTTAATATATATATATATATTATTTTAAACACATTTCTTTGGGTTTCCTATACAATAACTTGGCAGGCAAATAGAAGAAATGTCGATGGATATACGCCCACCCTCCTTGACAGTCACTTCAAACCTTACACGCCCTAATACACTGCTCATAAACAAGCCTGTCAGTTTTCAGGAGAAGAAACAAAAGAAGAAAGTAAGAAAGATACACAGTACCCACCTTGTTTTTTTTTAGGAACTCTGAGTTGAATGGATGGGACTTTGAATCCACGAATCAGCATGGTTAGGTAATACATGAACCAAAATGCAACATCATATCCATTTGTAATTGTAACATTCACGCCCTAAAGTAGGGCTGAAGAGAGGACAGCTTGGCAGTCTTTGCTGGTTCAACAGACGAACCCATTCCATTTATGGCAGCATCGTCCAATTACGCTATAATGGGTATTTTTAGAGCCCGACATTATGCTGTTTTATGGGCTGAACTTCCACTGACTAACATAGCAAAAGTCACAACTCATATTCCAAAAATCTGATTCTGAGGTGACACAACTAGCACAGCCACAGCAGCCGTGAAGAGACAAAATGATTTGGCACTACATTTGAATCCTACAAGATGCCCATTCTCTGACCGTAATGATTTGGATCTTGACAAATTCAATTAAACATTTCATGCCCAGTGCGGTTAAAATTTTCGAAATCCAACAAATGCTGTCCTCAATCTCTGCCCAGGAAATGTTTCAACCTCAGAAAAACTCACCTATAAACAGTAAGATTTCTCAAACTAAACCCAACACCAAACCTGCTATTAAATGGCTATAAATGAGGACAGGCCAAGAGCTGCAGTAATCAACCATGAGAATTCAAGCTCAACTAAGATTCATAGTATCTGTCTTGAAGAATCTGAGTGGCAAGATTATCTCAATGAAACTGGACAGGCTAACACAAATCAGCCCAAAAAAGTTTTATATGAATACATTCTCTCTTTTCTAGGAGAAAAATGGAGTCCTACAAGCATTTCTCAATTACAAACTCTCTGAGTTCAATGTGTTACTAGGTGAAACAAGGTCCCGATAATGGAAATGAAGTAATGATGCTAATTCAGATGAAAACATAGGCTTTAATAAGGCCTCTAATGTACATCCTTTCATGCTGCTCCACCCCAGAGCCATAGTGCCTGCAAACTCAGTGAGATTCAACAAGTATGTATAATGGCTTTCCCTTCAAGCGTCCGCGCCCCTACAGTATCCAGAAAATCCAGAATCAGTAATCTACACTAAAACAAGACTTTTTCAAACTACTAGAGATCAAGACTAAAATCCAAAAGACATTCCATTAAGGACCAAATGCAGAATTTTGAACTGAACTTGAGTAGAATAGATTTTGAATTTACATTTCTATTTTCTATCTTGTAAACAGATTTTAACTTATATCGCAGTGAGCAGAAGTTTATTTAAGGGGGCACAGAACTTGTTCTTGGGAGTATTCACCTTTATTTGGTAACTTCATAGCAACAAATTTTAAAATTCAAAGTGATGCTTCCAGAAAAAATTTTATATCAATAAACAGATTCGGGAGGAATTCCTGTCTCGTGGGAAACATTTTTTTTTTTTTTCTTGAAAGAAAAAAAGATTCTGTCGAGAGCACCAAAGGGGTGCTATCAGAAACAAAGGACATACACAGAATTTAAATCATCCTACAAGAGAGAAGATCAAAGAGATCCAAAATCAAAACTAGCAAAGATTTTATATTAAAGATTGAAACTATGTTGAAGATATTGACAAAAGATATCCATAAGGTGCCTCTTGTCAATTCAGCTGTCATATGAAAATCATCTTTGTTTTTTACTACCCACAACAAATTTGATGTTGTTAAGAAAAGCTGTTCAATCTTTGTTGAATATCTTCACAAAGTACAATCACAAACACCTCTATGATTGTTGGCCGTCCATTTATTCGCACCATAACCCCATGTGCAACTCTATGATTGTAAGTCTTCCAGTTGTTGGCATCATAACCCCTATTTTGCCACCATGAACCTCCTTGACAAAGCATGTTCTCTGTGATAAATCTCCACTCCAATTCAGCAACACCTTATTGAAATCTCCAATGTATTTAATACCCAAACCACCCTTACTTAGTAGCCCCCTAACAACCAAGTGAAATTTCTCCACATCATCCTTATTCACAATTAACAATTACTTTGCGGAGTATCCATTTTTTTAATCATACTAGCGGGATTGGAGAATAGGAACAAGAAGTAGATCAGTAAGTTAGATAAGGAATGTTTGATCTGAGTAGGTCTCCACCTAAGAATTAAGAGCATTACTAACAGCAAGAAAGCCTCTTCTCCATCTTCCTGACAGTATCCCAAATCCCACTACCTACGAACTTTGCACTCAGCAAAAGCCCCAGATGCGGTGGGAAATGAGGCAACATTGCACCCCAGGATTTAAGCAAAAATATCACAACCTACCTAACTGAATGATTCGGATTCACCTTAAGCCCAAAAACTGTTTGGAAGCAAAGGAGAATTAATGTCATGCTAAAAGTAGATTCTCTGCTCGGCTTAATGCACAAAAAATGAGAATTCTCCATATTGTTGCCGTCTTGACCAACTTGAAGACCCTTAAACAAATTGTTGTATTTGATGCTTCCAGAATCATACAATTGGAGACTTCCATGATAAGAATAAACACTAAAAGAAAAGGAGACTCACCTTAGATCCATAGAAGTAAGAAAAAATTCCAAAGGGCCCCATTAAAAACAACTGCCAAAAAGGTGGTAGAAATACAAGTAGACATTCACACCCTCCATTTCTCCCCAAAACTCAAGCAAGTGCAAAAGGAAAGACAATCAAACATGGTTGTAAGCCTTTACAATATCTAATTGCAACGAGAGCCAGACTCTCCACTGTTTAACAAAATGTCCACCATTTTATTTGCCATAAGAGAAACATCCAGAATTTGTCTACAATTCATAAAAGCATGCTGTGCTTCAGCTGCAATTGAATTTATAACTCTTTTAAGTCTTCTGCAAGTATTTCAGCAAAAAGTTTGCAGATGCCATTAACAAAACTTATCAGTCCAGAACCCTTTAACCTCCATAGACCCCTCAAATTTTGGGACAAGAACTAGAAAGGTTGAA